CACATACTGCATGTTTGGGTAAACATATAAGCAAACAAAGGCTCAAGTATACCTCCTCAAAACAAACACATAAAATAGCATGTCTTGCACATACTGCTTAGGTCTGATTAAAAATATCAAAGACGAGGGAGAGGAGGTTGTTGAGGCAGACTAGTTTGATACATGGATCAGATAGGAAGTCAGAATCAGACTTGCTTAATGATTGCATCAGTTATTAATTAACAAAGGTGAAATAAGTTATTATCGGTCGTTATCACCTAAGGCTTGCCTAAGTGTTTAAGCGAGATCCTATGAACATGATATCTATTACTGATTCAGAAATATAGCAAAGCAACACTGTTTTAAGACAAATGATTCGGAATTCTTATAGGCATGACTTCTATGCGTTACTGATTTTAGGTCCTCATAGACGTGATACCAAACATTGCATGTGAGCAGAAACGAACATGATTATACTTATGGACCCCTATAGACATGATTTCTGTATGTCACTGATTTTAACATGCTACCGGGTTATATCCTTAAAACATGATGCCTAATATGCAGAAAATTAAAGTGAAGCCCTATAGGCAGGTTATCTAGGTGTGATATTAAACAGGTAGAGTAAATGAATCTCTATGAGCATGATTTCTAGATGCGGTTATGCAGAGTTAAAATAATCCTATAGGCATGGTTTCTAAATGTGATTGAGTATGCAGAATCGAAATAGTTCTATAGGCATGGTTTCTAAATGTGATTTGCAAGTGCAGAATTAAAATAAGTCCTATAGGCATATTTTCTAATGCAGTTTGAAAGTACAGAATTAAAAGAAGTCCTATAGACATATTTTCTAATGCAGTTTGCAAGTGCAGAATTAAGAGCAGTCCTATAGGCATATTTTCTACCCTTGCATGCATAATTACCCAAACCTTTTTTTTCACTAGCCAGCCCCAGTGTTTATTATAAATTACAGACCCAGTAGCGAATTACATCGAAAATAAATGAAAGAAAATTACAATCAGAGGAAGCCAGATTCCTGACTTCCTTTCTGAGTTATGGGCTAAACCACTTCAAATGCCATTTGTTTCAAAGCCTTTCTCAAACTTGAGTGTGTCAGAGTTCCCTAAGGGCCTCAAAGGGACCTCGGGCAGTGCTCACACCCAAGTTCCAAAACCAGAATAGGGACAAATGCAGTGTGGAAATACCATCCCTCATGTGTCCAAGTTCAGAGGGAGCTCATGGGTCCCAAGGCAAGGCTCACATGAGGGGGGGCAGAGCTTAAGTCTAGGAAGAGAGTGCAAGTGCAGAAACAGAGCTTTAAGAACTAAGGAAGTAAAAAATAGGGAAAGAGGTGCTGGAAAACAGTCAGTAACACTTCAAAAGTTGATAATTTTACACCAAAGGGGGCAGGGGATTGGGAATCCATTGCAAGGGCCTATATACTTAGGCATAGGTCAATTCAGGGCATGTACAGCAATAGGGGTGCTGCCATGCTTGTAAATCAACCAGAGCACACAACATGTAAAGGTGGCATAGAGGTTATGATCATAGGAGGACCAAGTTTGAATCATGCTCAGCAATATTTGATGTTGTCATGCCCCAAACGAACAATAATTATCAAACACATTGGGGGAGGGATTTAGGATTCATAATACATTGATTCAGAATAGGAGAAAAGAAATTGCAGCATGCTAAATAAAGTACCGAAGCAATAGGCAGACAAGAATGCAAGAACATTAAGTAACCATGTTGTTGTTGATGCTGAAATCTTAACTAGAACATACCAGTTCAAAGAAGCAAATGTAGTAAAGAAAGATAGCAGGACTTTTTGAAATACAGCTTTGATTTTCAACCAGCAAAAAAAGCCACAGTAGAAGCAGTAGAGCAAGAGAGAGTGTTCTTTTTAGTGTAAGTGAGAGTTCAGAACTAAGAATGTTCGTGTGTGCTAATGAAAGAGCAAGGTATTTATAGTTTGAAAACAGGTAGAAAATAAGGCAAGAATCATAGTTTAACAGTAATTATGGAACTATGTACTAACTAAAATCAAATCAGTATAAGTACTCCCTTTAATTAAGGAGTAAAAATAAACGGTAACATGCAAATACTAAATAAGGAAAGAAATCACATAAGGCTGAATATAACCAATAAGGAAATATTTTCAGCATAGTACAAGTACACAATATGCAATAAGGACTAGATTCATCAGATTCTAATCAAGGAAATGTCAGTAAGAATCGAGTACCAATGGAACCAAGGTAAGGGAATCAATCAAATTGAGTAGAAAAGGTAGGGATCGAAGGCTCAAAGGAAAGTGTTCAAATTAGACAAAGAAACAGGGAAATCAGTAAGGTGAAACATGGAAAAAAATCAATTACTTAACACGAGTGCAATCAAAATCTCACAAGGAATGGTTTGAAATCAGTCCAGAATTGGAGGTCATTCAAAAGGGGAATTCAGCATACAAATAGAGTACATAAACATGCGAGGCCAAACTATGGCAAAGAGAAGCAGCATGCAATAACAATCACATAGTCAGCAGACTGTGAACATGGAAACATGGTAGTCACCTAGGTCAACTTTGTTAACTTAGTAATAGGGTATCAGAAGCATGCAAAGGGTCAAGTAAAGGCCCTTCTGAAAAGTACATTCGAGTTTCGATGATTGCAAGAAACCAAATCACATAAAGAAACAGATGAAGCAGCTTCAGAAGCCCGAATAGGCCCTAAAGAAATTAGGGTTTTTGAAACCAATCGAATTCAAAGATGATGAACTAGTAAATCACACAACAAATATTCT